GGAACCCGGTTCATCATCCAACATGTACGTAATAAAATCATGTCCAAACGTTTTAGCCGTTTTTACCCTTTTACTACATCTCGGTTCTTCATCAGTACCCTCTAGTACAGAACCACTAGCAGTTTCATACGTTCTTTTATTAGAACTAGATTCTGCCATTTCCTTCATAGGAAAAACATTCTCAAAGAATATAGCATTCCTTGACTCAATCGTGGTACCAACATATACCTCTGGATTTTCTGATTTATGAACCAGAAATATATATGTTGTACTATTGTACGCATATCCAATAAATGCACAATCGACCGTCTTTGGCCCGATTCTCATTTGTTTGGGTTCAGGTACTGAAACCTTAGCCAAACACCCCCACACTTCCAGGTATTTATAAGACGGCTTACGATTTTTCCACATTTCGTAAGGAGTCTCATCTTTCCCTTTAGGTGATATTTTATTCAGAATATGATTTGCTGTCAAAACAACTTCCCCCACATGTTCTGTGGTAATCCTGAATTAATCAACATGGCATTCATCATTTCTTCTAAAGTTCGGTTTTTGCGTTCAGCAACACCGTTCGACTGTGGAGAATAAGGGCCCATCGTTTGATGAATTATGCCATATTCAGAAGATATTTGTTCAAAATGAGCTACATAATCCCCACCCCTATCACTTCGGATTATTTTAATCCTTTTGCCGAGTTGATTTTCAACTTCGGTCTTATATATCTTAAATGCTTCCACAACCTCATCTTTGCTTCTTAACAAATATAAGTAGCAAAACTTTGTGCAATCATCGATAAAAGTTACAAAATACTTTTTACCGGTTCTAGTTTGAACACTTTCCATATCGCATACGTCAGTATGGATCAAGCCTAATGGTTCAGTATTCCTTTCCACCGAGTGAAAAGGCAACTTAGCCATTTTTGCTTCAATACAAATTTCACATTTCTTATGCGATTCGATTTTAGAATTAGGAATTAATTCTAAATTCATCAACCGTTTAATTGCATTTAGATTTACATGTCCCAATCTAATATGCCATAAATCAGAGCACTCAACGGTATAAATAGAAATAGGCTTTTCATTATAATTGGAAACGGTTACACGGCTCACGACCATTACATTCATTTTGAACAAACCCTTGTCGAGATAACCACGACCAAGGAATTTTCCAAACTTGCTAAGAATAAACTTCTTATCATCAAATACCAGCCTAAATCCATGCTCAACAAGAAGAGATCCAGAGACCAAATTCTTGCGGATGTTTGGGACATGCTGAACATCCTTAAGCTTCAACTCATCTCCAGAAGTGAGCTTCAGCACCATTGTGCCAACTCCAGCCACATCAGACGTGGAGGAGTTTCCCATGTGAAGTTTTCGACCTGCAGCAGGAGTGTATTCAGAGAACACCTCCTTGTCAGAACACACATGACGAGTGGCACCAGTATCGATGTACCACTCCCTTGGGTTATCCACCAAATTGGCTTCAAACACCACCGCCGACATATCAAAGTCGGTCAATTCACCCGGCACAGAGCCGTGTTCAGCAACAAGGGCACTCGGTTGCCCTTTATTTGGCCCAACTTTCTTTGGCCTCTTGTAGTTTTTAGCCATATGGTTTGGTTTTCCACAATTGTAACAAGTTCCGGTAAACTTCCAAACCTTGGCTGGCTGCTTTCCCTTGTTCTGGGTCTTCCTCTTGCTCGAGTTGCCTTGCTCTACCAATTTCGCACGAGCTTCCATCATCGGGACTTTTCCTGATGACTTCTGGTTATCCTCCTCGATACGAAGATGAACTATCAGATCTTCAAGACTCATCTCCTTTCTCTTGTGCTTGAGATAGTTCTTGAAGTCCTTCCAGCCTGGCGGCAGCTTCTCGATCATAGCCGCTACTTGGAATGACTCGCTCAAAGTCATCCCTTCAGCATGGATATCGTGCAAGATTAGCTGGAACTCTTGCACTTGTGACACGACAGTCTTCGTGTCAACCATCTTGAAGTCAAAAAATTTGCCGACGACGAATTTCTTCGCCCCGGCATCCTCGGTCTTGTACTTCTTCTCCAGGGCAGTCCAAAGCTCCTTGGCAGAACCAACAGAGTTGTACACATTGTACAACTCGTTACTAAGCCCGTTCAATACATAATTACGGCAAAGGTAGTCACCTTGCCCCTAAGCATCATACGCAGCGCGTAGTTCTGCATTGGTCTCATTCTCCAAAATGACCGGAGGGTCGTCCTTCAGGTATTTTACCAAACCCAAAGTGGTATGGTAAAAATGCATCTTCTGTTGTCATCTCTTAAAGTCAAGCCCGTTGAATTTTTCGGGCTTTTCAGCTGTAGGAACATGGACAGTAGGTACATGATTGATCGAATGCTGAGAGCTGGAACCTGCTCTGGTGGATGCCATCAGTTCAGTAGGATGACTGAATATTCTTCTTGCGGTTGTTGGATATTTGGTGTAAAATACACGGGAATCCTACGAACTGATATGTAATTTCAGTTCTTACAAATAATCTAAAAATAGAAAATTACAATTGAACTGAAAAATGAAAAGATTTTAGCCGAGGCGAGTAAAACTCTTTCCACAAGAAGAATACGCCCCCTGTGGCAGCTAACGGTTCAGGCGTAACTTCCCCAAAGATACAACGGCAAACGTCTCTAAATCTGTAGCACACCAGATTTACGAGCTCCGGCAAACAGGAACGAAATCGAGAATTGAGCACTTAGTAATAAAAAGAATATCTTGAAGCAAATAAAAATATCACTTGTTTTTTCTCTTTTGATATTTTTATATCCGATATTTGGACATAAATCTATCTTTCTTTCCTTTCTCTTTCTCTTTCTTTCCTCTCTTTTTCTCTTCTGTTTGGGATTTATTTTTCTCTTCTGGCCGATGGCCTTTTATAGGAAGATGAAAAGGAATCAAATGTCAATTTGGCCAACAAATTGATTTAAACAATTTTTTTTTTAATATCCTACAATTGGGGAACGCATATGGGAAGAGATGGAAAACCCGTGTGGGAAGTGGGAAGAATTTTTTTTTTCTTTATCTTTTTCTAACACATGTATTGCTGCATTGTCCAAGGGCTAAGAGCATCTCCAAGAGAATTTCTACTTTAGATTTCTTATTTGGAGAAA